AATTCTAGAGAGGAAGTCTGATATCAAGGTATCAGCGCAGTGGGTTTCTTGTGAGTCGTCTCTCTTTTTATGAGGACACTGGTTATATTGGATTAGGGCCCACTTGTATGATCTCACTTTACCTTAATCGCCTCTTTAAAAAGGCCCTAGGTCCAAATACAGTCACACTCTGCCTGAGGTGCTGGGGTCAGGACTTGAACATCTGAATTTGGGGAGGACACAACTCAGCCCATAACAAGGAGAGAAGAAGATCCTGCAAATCATGGAAGATGTGCCTGGGCAAGCAGGCCCATCTCAAACCTCCCTTTTTCCCTCCCCATCTCCCCTGTCATTTGCTGTCCCAAACAAGCAGTAGATGGCTGCTGCCTAAATACCAACAAGGGAGCACACACCGCTGCTTGATGAGGCCTGCTCAGGACTAGTTCTAAATTGCAGAAAATGCCATTACTTGTCCCCCTGCAGAGCCATGAATATGCAGAGATTATTTTACCTGCTAAGAAGACAAACTAAAGAAATGTGTTTAAAAAGAATTTAAAAATTCACCAGAGTTTATACCCAAGAGAGAGACAGTGCTAACCCAGCAACACATTTTTGAAGCCAGCAAGTTATGTAACATTTACAAAATCATAATTCCTCCACCAGAAATGCTGCTTTTTAACTGGCGGACATTCCCTCCCCCCGCCCCCCATTAACTTTAAGGTTCACGTTAAATGGTAACACACCCACTCTTTAAGCAGACTGTCCTAGACCACCCTCTGTTTCCTCCTGTCCTCGCATACCTGTGTCTTGTCCTGATATAATAAAAACTCTGTACATGGTCTTGTTTTCAGGATTCTCCTGGGACTTGACCCCCTGCCCACTCACCAGTGTAACTCTCATTTGTTATTACTGTTAGGGCTGTTGGTGATCAGAATAAACAGTGGCCTCCATCAGTGTGTTTGGGGCTGGTTGGATCAGTTAGTTAGGGCTTAGGGGGACCAAAATTCCAGGTGCACCCTCCTTTCTTCCCTTTGGTCCATGATTACTTTCTAACCCCGTTGGCAGCCACCACTCACCTTTGACCATTATTTACAGAAGAGGTAGGAGATTGGGGGCTGAGAGATGAAGACAGCTTTGTTCATCCCATTTAAACTTCCAGCCCTTGAATAACCACTCTCCCTTTTACTGCAGATGTTCATCAGAGGCACCCTACCTTCTGCTTATTGCTAACAACCCAGAGGGTTTGGAGCAACTTTCTGTAGTTTATATTATAAAACTCTGACATGTTTTCATGTGTTTTCCTACTAAAATAATATTAAAATATATTTTGAGATACAGTACACTTCTCCCTCCTCTTAGTGTGGGTTCCTCTTTGGTGGTCAGTCACTGGCTGAGGCTGCAATCCCTCTTTACAGAGAATCCAGGGGTCACGAGGCTGTCCTGCAGTCAGGTAGGATAGAGATGTACGGACATAGTATTACTGCTGCCTGATAGAGGTGAGAGCCCATCTTAGGTTTGAAATTTGTCTTTATTTCACCTACCAGAGTCAAAATATCCCAGACCCAGCAATCGCAGGATTTCTGCTGGCCTCAGCTCTGCTACATACTAACCTGGTGTGTCCTTGGCGAGTCACTCAGGCCCTCTGGTCACCACACTCTCACCTTTAGAATCAGAAGATATGAGCTGAACATTTAGGTTCTTTTGGTTCTGAATGTGTGGGACTCAACCACATGTTAGTTTAGCTTGAAAACAGAAGCTGGCCAGGCCTGATCATTGGGACTTTAGGGCCCAGGGCAACTGTAAATAAAGAAGGAATAGGAGACTAGAGATGTAACAGTCAGCGAATCTTCTGGACAGAGCTCCTTTGAATGCAGCTGGGGACTTGCCGCCTCCTCTAAGCTGAGTCAGTGGTAGGCAAGGGCGGGTGGCCAGGGTCCAAGCTCCCCTCTGCTTCTGTGTGCTGTGAGAGATGTGGGCACACACCCTTTTCCACACCCCTCCAGGCGGGCGGCGAGAGCCGGGAGACTGAGGCCTGGCTCACTTCTCAGGGGGAAAGAGAGAAACCACAGTCCTGGAACACAGTTTTTTATTTTTCGTGTTATTTCTTCCTGTGGTAAGGATATGTCTAGCAAAGAAAGGGACACATTTGAACAATAACAACTACCAATTATGGGCATGCTCTCAAGTGCCTTTTTTTGTATTAAGTGTCTGTTTTTCACAGTGACACAATCAGGAGTAAATTATGATCCCTGTGTCTTCGGATGAGGAACCAGGGCCCAGAGGACCTAAATGACTTGCCCACAGACCCGCAGTAAGAAGAAGCCACAGTTCAAACCCAGTCTCCTGGTTCCTACCCCAGAGCTTCCCCAAGCTGCCTCCTAAGAAAGACATTCTCTTTGCAAATAGAGCGATGAGGCTGTGGGAACTGTCCGGGTGCTGATTCCATGTAACTTCGTGGGAGGTTCCCACAGCCTCCCACACTTCCCTGGAGGGAATTTTTTCCCCCCCCTCAATTTTAAGAATTGTTTTAAAATACACATAACGTAAATTTGCCATGTTAACCATTTCTAAGTGTACAATTCAGCGACATTAAGTACATTCACAGTGTTGTACAACTATCACCACTGTTCACTTCCAGAACTTTTTCATCACTTGGGGGCTTTGACTGTCCCTTTCTTTGATGCCTGTCCTTGAATCATCCCTGGAGCCCCTATAAAGTAATCCATGATGATATCCCTTGATGTCCTGTGTCCTCTCTCACTCTTGTCCAGTGCTCAGGAAAGGCCGACTTAGAGGCAATCCTTCAGCAGTTGGCTGTATGATTTTACTAGAGGAGCACCTTCGAACCAGCAAAACCGTGGACTCTCCTACTTGGGGCTGGGGGTAGGCTACGTCAGGGGGATTCTGAGAGACCTGCCATAATGGAACATCACAGGCGTGTTTTTGTAGGCAGGAATTCTGCTGACAGATGAATTGGGAGTCCCTCACAAGAGTCCTAGAAAGCGCTGTTTTATACCCTCCATGGGGATTATGTGGCATTTATGGCTTTAAAGAAGTAATTTCTGAGACTCAGCTGTGGATTTTATTTCTCTCTTGATTAGTTCAAACATTCTCTGTATCTCATTGTCGTCAGTTGCTTGTTCTGGCCCTGTGTAGGATGCAGTCATAACCGTGACATGTTCTTTATACCCAGGCCATTTCCATATCCCAGTAGATGGGTGGTATTAATGGTCCTTGGCTGGACTGTGGTAGAACAAACTCTATTAAATGAAAACTCCTGTATTACATTCCCAGCCCATGTAAATTTTAGTTTCTTTAAGACAAGAATTGTTTTTAAGCATTTTTGATTTCAGGGATGGCTGTGTTTGAAGGCAATATTTGTGTGTTTGGGGTGAAATGTGCTTCCCACGGCACTTGGAAGAAGGACTAGACTTTTGGAGTTGACAGCCAAAGGCAGTCACCCCAGTAGTAAGTGATCACTGTGGTCCTAGCCCTAGTGTTTATTAAAATCCTCCTCCATACACTGACCATTGCCTGGAATTCCATCATCAGTGCCTGACCTATTGAGTACAGGTACGCTGGTGTAGGTGAAGGACAGCAGTGGAGGACGGACAGAAAGAGAGGAGTTTCATTTACCTTCCACACACCAGCCACTGTGCTAAACTGCTTTACATACCTTGTCTTGTTTCAGCCTTAGAGCCCATTAGAAATATATTTGCTATGATGTGACTGTCTTATTCTCTCTATACAGAGAAGGACTTGGATTAAGAGAGAGCCAGTAGTTTGCCTAAAGTTTCCCAACTAGCAAGAGCCCACTCTTCCTATTACTCTGTCTTGCTCTCAAAAGCAGGAAAAGTGCCTGAGAAGCTTTGAGCAGCTTTCGTGGGGGCTCTCAAAAGGACCCTATAGAAGAGGGGAGGGATGAGGACACTGAACAGGATGGTTTGCCCAGGTATAAGGGGCTAAGTTGCAGGTGGAGCTCAGATTCCATGGCAAAGCTGTTGAAAGGAAAAATAAAATAAGGGTAGCCATGCCCCAGGGCTTCTGGATGGGAACCAGCAAAAAAATCCAATTAGCCATACCAGTAGCTGGGCTGTATTCCCATACGGACTCTTTATAACACATAATCTTCAGTAAGGTTTGGATTTAATATAGCAACATTTGACATGTCACAGCTCATGGAAGAGAGAGTCCAGGCTTCAGTTACACAGGTTCACATTTGAACCCTGACTTGGCTGGTTACTAACTGTGACCTTAGACAAGTCACTTAACCTTCCCACCATCTATAACATGTGGAGAGTGATTTCAAACTTCTGGGGCTGTTGTGAGCAAGATAAGTATGGGACGGCCGAGCCCTAACACGAGGTAGGGCCCCTGGCACTTCGTGGCTGGGGCAGGGCTGGTGGTGGAGTCTGTCCTCTGAGCAGCCTCTCTGCCTTCTGCATCTGCAGTGCTGCAGGGCGTGGACAATTCGCTGGTGGGCCTGCACAACCAGAGCTTCGCCCGCGTCATGGAGCAGCGCCTGGCCCAGCTGTTCATGATGTCCCAGCAACAAGGTCGGCGGTTTAAACGGGCCACCACCCTGGGAAGCTACACTGTACAGGTGGGTGTGCGCAAAGCCACTGGGGTCTTCTGAAAAATGTGGGAGAACGTGCTGCCTGAGACTAATCACGTGGTGTGCATGATTACTACACCGCAAGCTTACCAAGCCACTTAATCAACGCTGCTCTTAGGGTTTGGGGGTCATAAGTCAAAATCATGAAGGAAGATGAGAGTTAGCCACCCGCCCCCAGCAGTGTCACTACTAGATTGTAAAGAAAGGAGGCCTTGGAACGCATTCTGCACGCATGCAGATATTTATTCAACAAAGTTGTAAGTAAACAGACACAAACTACTCACCAACTTGTTCTGTAGGCTGGATGAAGTCCCAGTTCTTGGTGCTTCCAAACCCTCTCGACACCACTGCTGTGAGTGGCAGATGCACCAATCGGTATTCCGGGTACGAGATTCTGTTATCCTTATTTAGTCGGTTTCAAAACTTGGAGAGCCCTCCAAGTTCATAGTAGACATGTGACGACACAGAGATTTAGGCTAGGGAGCCATAGCAGGTACCACAGGTGCTCTGCCCAGATCACCTCACCATTTCTATCAATGCCAATGGACTTTCAGCAGCCTCTTTGCAATCTTTATTGAAGGGCTGCTCTTGAGCTGCTGGAATCC